TTGGTCTTGACTGATTAAAATAGCACGATGATGGTGAAATAGCGATAATAAAATTGCAGATGAAAAGGCAGGGACTGTGAGCTTGTTGAGATGGAGGAAGGATTTCTTCACCCTGAAATATACCAGATAGCTTCACAGAAGTTAAAAAATGCTGGGCAAACCTGAGCTTTTAAGACATTATTATTTGTACTGCATCGTTTGACCTGTATTTTGCTCCCTGCTGTTCTTCTTTCACTATCCCTTGCTCCTATGGAGAGCTTTTCTTGGGGGGGAGGGGAAACTGCAGAAGCTCCCGCCCGACAGCGCCACCTGCAGTGTGGGAGGCCAGGTGCGCTGCTCACTTGGGCTCCACGCACCATTCGTGGGGCCCTGGTGGCCATATCACACATTCGCCCTTTCCCCTGGTTTCTCTTGCTGCGTAGGTAGTTGTTCGAAAGACCCCGAGGAAGTGCAGGCCAGCAGGACCGTCAGGCCGGCAGTATCCCCGAAACAGTTTGTGCACAGCGTGGGGAATGCGGGAGGAATTTGAAAGATAAGCTGTTTGGTCTTGGCAGGGCGCCACATGTCCCTATTTGGCGGGGCGCGAGGCGCACGGAAATCGGAAAGGCCCATCATCCATTGGAAGCAGGGGACGCCACCAGCAGACGGAGGACTTTGCCCTGGTCCCTCATCCTGAACGCGTCTCCATATGGGGCAGCCCCTGCCGGCAGTGAGGCGTGGTGTTGACCCTGATGCCTATGGCAGGTGGGAGGAGGCCTCGATGACCCAATCGCTGTGTTCTGGTCCTGAGATCTTCAGATGGCGGTGGCCGGGAAATAGGTTTATTCCATGTCCAGTCACTAACCCTGCCCGCCCCTTCCTGCTCTGGCCCGAGGCCCATCCATGTATTGTGAAGTCCAGTTGTATTTTTAGAACTTAACATACTTTATAACACGAATGCAGATGGTTCTGCTCCCTGGAACTGTTCATGGAGCATGAAAGCAGATTTTAATAATGTGCCAGCTTCTCCAGAGAGCTCCGGAGAGCCTCTTGGGGCATGGAAAGCGGGCTGCTGCGGGATGCCGTGTAGAACCTTTGGCATTCCTTCATATTGTCTTTTGGATTTGTTTAAAGTTGGTCTGTGTTGTTGAAGGAGTGTGTGTGTGCACACAGGTGGCAGTGCCCTGGGAACCAGTCTACTTTGCTTTACCCAATTCAGTTCAGCTTCCATTTGGGGGCAATCTTTCCCCCTTTGGGAGTTTCAGACTGTGTGTTCTCCCCAGGAAGAGGCTGCAGGGATGTGAAAAATGGCCTCGCTGTCCCAGGTACTGTCTCTGCAGGTGCCTTGGGGTCTCCCTCCTGTCCAGCAGGTCCCCCTTACCCGTGCCCGTGATGGTCGGCCTCTGGGAGCAACACCAAGAGCCACTCCTTGCCTGTCCTCTGTGGTCTTGCGGCCACATTCCTTGGCCTTCAAGATGCTTCCGGCCTGGGCCCTGAGGTTAAGTGTCTCTTGTGGGAAGGAAGCCTGGGACAGGGCTAATCTGCTTGACCCTGGACGCCTGCGGGAGGGACAGGGAAGGACAGGGAATGGCACCAACATTGCGGGCGGGGTCCCCAGGCCATGGCAGAGGCCTGGGAGGGACCCACTGGTCGTGAGCAGGGAAGGGAGGTATAGACCTGTATCCCAGGGGCAGATCGGGGCACCTGTGAACTGCACATAGATTTTGGTTTTGCTGACATTGCTGAGGGGCCCAGGTATAAAATGTAGCTGCTCGGGCCAACTTGTGATCTGTGACGGCACAGACTGAGCCAGGAAGGGCCCCCAGTACCTGCGAACCTCAGAGGGTTTGGCAGAAGGGTGAAGCTTGCACCGAACAGGGTGCTGTTTAACTCAGCCCTGGTGAAAGCTGGCTGGTGGTGTCCTTGTCCTGCCAGCAGCGTGCCTGTGGCCATGCCACGTGTGTCAGGGCGGGTCCGGTACGAGAGGGACAGAACAGTGACCCACCCACAAAATTTCACCTAGCTGCGCAAGCAGGCCTCATCTGGCTTTTGTAAATCATGGTAAAAATTAATGGCTGCTTTAATGAAACCATTTCTATAAGATGTCAGCCCACCCAGAATGTGACACCAAAGTTACGGTCCTAAAAACATCTTTGTTCTCTGAGAAACTGACCATCATTTAGATGATTTGTGAGACTTGTCAGCTCTTGGAAATTGCCCCCCACGGCTACAATTGGTAATAAAATTTGTTATCTGAATGAAGAAGATAAAAATGTCCTCTGTGAATAAAGCCATAAAGATTTGGTCTGCGATTAAAAGCATTTTTGTGTAATATATAGTCTGGGCTGATGGGGCACAGCCAGTGGGGGTCTCTGGGCCTTTATTTCCCAACTCAGATTTTCCAGTTTCTTTTATTATTATTACTATTAAAATTTTGTGGTACTGGGGATTGAACCCAGGACCTTCACATTAAGCTACATTCCTAGCCTTTGAAGCAATGTTTTATTTTGAGACAGGGTCTCACTGAGTTGCCAGATTGCCCAGGTTGGGCTCAAACTTGGTTGACCCTCCTGCCTCAGCCTCCCAGTGTGCTGGAACAGAAGGTGTGCACCTCCACACCTGGCTTTTCCCGAGTGTCTGGAGGCCTGCTGATTTGTGCAGGGCAGATGGCCCATGTGCTCTGCCCACTCAGGGTCGTGTCTGTGTCCCAGCAGCTCCAGGAAACCCCTGAGTCTGCCATTGCCACCCAGGGCCTCATGTGGAGTCCCCAGCCCACAGCATTCACCAATGGCTCTCGGGAACCATCCCAGGAAGTCCCTTCCCACAGCCGCTTGAGACTGAGTACTGATGGCCGCTGAGCTGTGTGTCAGTGTTTTGGAGGAGAGTCCAGGGCCCACACTGCGTGTCAGCTTCATTTCTCTGACCCTCTGCTAGTCCAGGGTGGGTGAGTGGCCACGGCAATTCCAGGCTGGAAAGCTGCTCGGCCGCGGGCTGCCATTGGGTTTCTTCTGCCCGGTGTGTGGGTGTTCCTGGCATTTCTGTGGCCCTGAAGGTCACCAGGCTTGGCCTAGTGATCTCAGCTGCTCCCAGTGTGGGTCCGGCAGTAGGTGGCAGGGATGAAGCGGTGCAGGATGGAGGTGCGGAGCAACAGAAGGGGTGGTGCAATCTTCCTGACCCGAGGAGCTGCCTTGCCCCGGGTTCTCAGGTTAGCTGGGCGCTAACCTGGTTATGGCTGGTTACCACCTGTGGTTAACCTGGTTATTAGCTCGGTAACCTCCACTCCCTATCCTGTCCGGGGCTGTGTAGGCGTCCTGCCTCTGAGCCCTGGCCCCATCTGGGGACATTTGCCCTGTGCTAGCACCCTGGGCACCATGAGCCGAGCACATAGCGAGCTGTCATCTACGGCTATCATTTCCAGTCAATTAAGTGAGTGTCAGCACTGGGTGCTGTCCACTCTGGCTGGTGCCAAGATGCCATGCGTTACTGGCCAGGAGGGCCCATGCTCAGCAGGTGTCATCGCTCGCAAGACATCTCCTTTCTTACCCTGGGCTTTAGGGTCCACAGCTCAGTGCTGGCTTCAGGCTGCCCCAGGGGGATCAGGATCCCCAGAGCACTTGGAAGACCTGTAAGCGCCCCACAGCCAACATGTCACGGGGCCCCGGGTGGGCCAGTGAGGGTGACAGCTGTTGGGCGTGTCTGGTATGTCCCGTGTGCATTTTGGATGTGCTTTTACAGCACCGGCTGCCTCTTTGGGGGACTCTGGGCGGTCACTCACCAGCATCCAGCGTGGGAGCTGCGCTGTGGACACAGGGTAACTGTGAGGCAGGGGTTACGGGAGGGGAGGCTGAGCACAGTGGCCAGCACGGTGAGTCAGAGCCAGGAACAAATCCCCGGTCTCCGCAGCTTGCTTGGACCTCTGTCAGTCGTCCTTGTTTCCAAAATCAAGAACAGCTCCTTGTCTCGGAGGCACTTGTACAGATGTAACCTCACGAAATAAGCATCTCCAGATGTGGCTATGCGATGGAGAACATCGCCCTGGGGCGGGAGCCTGGCCCCCAGCGTGTGGTTAGAAATGCAAATTTCACATGAGCCTTGAGCTAGTAGCCAGGGCGTGATTCGATGTTCAAGGAACCATGATCGCCCGGGACAGGAAATAGGTGACACTGTCAGTCAGTTGTGAAGTAGCGCCCCTGATAAAGCTTATTCATTGAACAGTCCTTGTTGTACGTACACCTCAGGACTACTGCCTCTGCCCGCAGTGGTTTGAAACTTGGATTTTTGTAAGGACTCGGTGGTGTGTGCGGGCAGCATCTCCGGGTTGTCTTCAGTGTGTTGGCTGTTTTACGTGATGGAGGTGGTGTTGGGGTCCCAGCGCGTGGAATGACACATCCCTATCCTTTTTCCACCACTGGGGCGCAGGAGGCTGAGCTTCTTAAGTGAGATGATCTTTGCTGTTTGAGCTCACCATATGCGTGCTCTCCGGCCGTCACCAAACGTCGGGCTCGGGGTCCTTTTCCTTGCATTTTAACGTTAACTTTTAGAATCGAAGTGAACCACAAGGCAGTTTGTGGAGTGCTGTTTAAATAAACAAACTTCCACTGGAGTAAAATCAGATCTGTAACTTAGGGCTAATCATTGATTCCCTGTCTGCATCATGTGTTTAGGGGGTCTGGATATCCCTGGGAGCCTGAGGGCTAGGTGCGGAGCCCCTCAGGAAGCCCTGGGTGTCCTGAGTCCTGAGGTCTGGGAGTCCTAAGTTGGAACCCCGAAGTTTTCACAGCTTCGTGACCACTGTGAAAGCGTCGCTGGGCAGGTCCATTTCCAGGGAATTCAACAGGGACCGTGGGCAGAGGCGACAGCCTTCATGGTTCCCACTGAGCTGGGTTTGATTTGTTCTGCTGTGCACCCCCACACCCAGACAGCTGGGTCGGGTGACGGGCAGCATGGCCTCGATGGACCAGGAGGGGATGGCGCCGACTTGGCAGTGTCCGCCCACCTAACTCTGTCTTCTTTATTTCCAGGGCGGGTGCGATGGCTCTGGTGGTTGTGGAAAGTGTGACTGCCATGGAGTGAAAGGACAGAAGGTAAGTGGCCAAATCCAAGGAACTGACGTGCAAGCAGCCAGCCCCTCAGCCAGACAGCTCTTGGGCAGCGGGGGAAACACGAGCTGGCTGCGAGGAATTGGGCGTCCGATGTTCTAGTGACTGCTCCCCGGAGAGGACAGCACTGAGTGACAATAAACCACGGGAAAGAGATTGGGTTATTTGCTTTTTGACTCTCAAGGAATAATCTAGGAAATTCTTTTGATCCAATCATCCTTTGTGAGATTGAATGATAAGAACTAAATTTGGCATTGATTGAAAAGTTTCTGTTAAACGTGAGGGGTTTCTCCTCAAATTAGTATTTAAAACAACTTTTTACTAATCACATGCTCGCTAGACATTCATAAAAACAGTACCAGGTGCTTTCCTCTTGTGGAGTGTTCTGTGTTTGTTGTAAGTAGTGGGCTCCTCCAGCTTACCATTTCAGGATCACGGATGTAGAGAAAGGCTCCTTTCTCTGGAAGCAGCCGCTGGCTGGAGACAGGTTCTTTCCCCACTGACCCAGCAGGGACCCGATGCCTTCTGGGTTTCCATGGAGACCTGGTGTGGGGAGGGGTGGAGCAGCCATCCCTGCCTTTGGGGCTTCCCTGCCTTGTCTCCCTCCTTCCCCTGGTCCTGGTTCTTGTGGTACTAGGGATTGAACCCAGGCCCTTGGTGCTGGACTGCAGCCCAGCCCAGCCCAGCTCTCTCTCTTATTTTCTTTCTTTCTTTCTTTCTTTCTTTCTTTCTTTCTTTCTTTCTTTCTTTCTTTCTTTCTTCCTTCCTTCCTTCCTTCCTTCCTTCCTTCCTTCCTTCTTTCCTTCCTTCCTTCCTTCCTTTCTGAAGGTTCATGTGTGTCATACACAGTGTTCACACTGCCTGTGTGGAGCAGGTGCCTGTGCAGAGCCCACCCCACCTTCTTTTCTCGTCCCGTCCCGTCCCTGTTCCCCCTCTTCCCCATCTCTTGCCCCCCTTCCTGTCTGAAGAAGCACGATCTCCCTTCTTTTATTTTCTGTCTCTTTTTTGTGCTCTGGGATTCAAGACCTTGCTGAGTCCCTGAGTTGCCCAGCCTATACTTGAGCTTGCAGTCCTCTTGCCTCAGCCTCTTGGCAAGAGAACTCCCCATGCTGGCTGGAAGCTTTCTTTGTCAGCTGCCCACATCTTCACTTTCTGTTGGTCCTCCTCTTCCTCAGGGCTTCCTGTGGCTACATTCAGTGTGTGTTTTCAGGAATGATTTTGAGGTGGAAGTGGGTCTTTCTCGCCCCATATGGGAACCCCAAGCTGAAAACGAAACCCTAAAACCACAGCACACGGCCCCTGCCATGTCAACACGCAGGACTCTGGGGTCCTGCCTCTGTGCCTGCAAAGCCCTGGGGTTTTCAGGGGGCTGTGAGGCCTGTGTCTCTGTGCCAGGGAGCAGGGTCCTCACCTCCCTGCCTGCACCTTGGAAAAATCCCTTCAGACTTTCTCAGGAGCTTATAAGCATGTATGTAGTGTGTGTGTGCGTGTGTGTGTGTGTGTGTGTGTGTGTGTGTGTGTGTGCATATGCGTGTGAGATCCTGGGATTGCATCCGGGGCCTTTGCACTACGCTGCACACCCAGCCTCTTCTCTCTGTAAGATTCGGTCATAGGGTTTGTCCCTCAAGCTGAGCTCAAATTTACAGCCACCTGCTTCAGCCTCCCAGAACTCTGGGAATCACAGGTATGTGCCACCAGCTCCAGCTTAACCTATGTGTTTTAAGCCCACTTCAGTTAGCTCTCCCCCAAAGTCCACCCGCCCAGCAAAGTGTAACGAGAGACTCCTCGAGGCCCCGCTTGTGGGTGCGGGAGACAGTTCTGGAGCTCAGAGCTCTTCCTCTCCAAGTGGGTGAGGATCCACAGCATCTGGGCCACAGCCCAGGGCCACGTCTAGGGCTCCTGGGCATTAGAGTGGGGTTAGGGTTAAGGTTCATTCACAGTTACCCAGGTGTCCTCTCTGCAGAGGACATGGCCTGTGCCAGTGGTGATGCTGAGATCCATCGGACCCACTTCCCACCGGGGGAGGCCAAGAGAGGTGCCGTGGAGACACAGTACACGCTGGTGCTCCATTCTCCTGTCCCGGAGCACTGCTCTGGACCTGGGACAGGCATCGGAGGCTGCCCTGTCCCTGGCAAGGTTCCCACAGGGACACAGAGCACAGAATCCAGGGCCTTCGCTGCATGACCTGCTCCTCAGGTCTTCGCCACTGCCTGGAATTTATTTTATTTTTCCTAAAGAATGTGAGAGACAGAAGGAGATGGGAGCTGGAGCTTTTGTCAGAAGGGAGAGGACCCCGTGATGGGTGAGGGTGAGCACCAAGACTCCCAGCATGCTGAGTATGTGCATACGTCACACAGCGCACGTTACTGTGTGCCCTGCAGACACAGGTGATCCAAAGCTTTAAAGTACTGGCGGCTGCAGGCAAACCATTCTGAACCCGGTTTTAAAGGCTGCAGTTATTGAGGGGCTAGGAGCCTCTCGGAGCCTGAATAGAGCAAGGGAATCTCAAGCTCTGTGTTTTAACAAGAGTGGGGTGCCCTGTGTCTCATCCTGAGTGAGCGGCTCGGGTTCTGGGTTCCGTAGCACAGTGCCCGGGAGACGGCTCCTTCCTCCCACGGGAGGAGGAAAGTTAAGCTCTCGTGCGTCACCTCGGAAGCCCTGTTAGAACCGTCAATGTGGAGACAGGAGATGTGGACCCCAGATCAGATTTCATTCCGAGTAGCACAGAAAACGGGGGAGGCTGCCCTTAGCACTGAGCAGCAGCTTGGTCTTCCCCACTTCCTCCCACCCTTTCTTGGGGTGTTTAGTCAAGGGTAGATGTGGGAAAGGTTAGCATTGCAGGATGGCAGTGTGATTGTTCAAATCCCAGGCCTCCTTCTGAGCCACGGTGTGTGTCCGGTGCCCTCAGCTCCCCAGGGAGTTGAGAGTCCCCCTAGGTCTGTGTCTTACATTCATTGTAATTTATGTGTTTTTTTAATTTTTTTATTTTTTAAATTTTTTATTTAAGGAGAAAAGAAAAAAAAACAGTGAAAGGGTACAAGTTATACAGATTTACAGAAGAAAAAAATGAACAGTAGGAAATCATTAGTTAATGGATTACATGTTGCCATCCCAGAAATAATTGTTTAAGTCACAAAATTAAAGCTTGTAGAGTGGACATTCCAACAATGATACTGCAAACAGTTCTGTTCAATGATCCAATAAAACTCTGTGATATCATTTTCTATCTTATACACTTAAATATACATGCAGTTATATAGTTTAGAGCACTTTCTTTTCCTCTCTTTTGTACAATGACTATTACACGTTTTGGGTTTCATTGCTCCTAGGGTTCTTATTGCTTTTTTGGAAGAGAGTAAAACCAAATGAGACATAACAGAACAGAATCGGTCAAGTCAAAAGGGTGGACATAATAGATAATATAAAAACATAATACAAGGTGATCAACAATGGTTACCATAATGCCTCCCGCTATCTCTAATAGAATTGCCTATATCATTAGTTATAATACAATTGAACAAAACAGTAAAGAACAAAACCGAAAAAACAAAACATTGGAGACATTGTAGGTCTTCAAAAGTAGATAAAAGTCAACGAGAATGGGCGTTATAATAAATCTCATTATCTTCACAGCTGATGCCTAAACTTTCGAACCTGATACTATCCAGCAACACAGAATAGGGGAACATCAGTCAAAAACAAGATGGTGAGAGTAATACAGGGCTTCAAATCGAGATAATAGAAAGTCAAAGTGGGTTACTATATTATATCCTGTTATTTTTTCCCTTTAATTAAACGGATAAAAATAAAAAAGTAAATAATGGAGTGGAGATTGAGAAAAAAGAGGGCATAACAGCGAAACAGTGCAGATCAAAACATAACCATTTAAGCAGAATAGTGTTTCACCACCAGATAATTCCGACCCAAAGGTAGTTACCATATTGACTCTTTCCTTGAAGTCCTTGAGTACAACTTCGTATACTGTAGCATTAAGTATATCAAAACAATGTAAAACCATAATTTGTGTTTTAAAAACAGCATCGTGGGGAGACCCATTCCTCACTGAGGTAAGGCTACTTCACTAGGACACAGAGCCACAGCCCAAGAAATGTGGAAGTCATCCTCTCTGAGATGCTTTCTGTTTCTCTTTGAGGCATGCTTGGAGGATATAATTTACAAGCCCTCTGCAGAAATTGGGGTACCTCGGATATAAATTGCCACACCTCTCCTCGCTAAGTCCTGCTCTTCAAGGGCTCAGGGCAGCTGAGAGAGAGACTTACACTCTGGGCTGTGATGGATTTTAGTGCCGCAGTGCTTGACTGTCCCTGTGATCTGTTTGTTAAATAATCAAGACAATCTCAGGTACGGTGTTCTAGATTTAGCAAGGCTTGTCTGGGGGTGCTGTCTCATGGCTTGTTTGTTTTCCCACTTGCCCTGAGGCTGCTCAAGGCTCCGCCTGTTTTCTCTTAGGTTTGTGGCCTTGTGCTCAGGAGACTGCCCCAGCATGAGAAAACTGGGTAGTGGTGTGAGGGGCGAGTTGGGGTTGAGCCCAGCATTGGCTTGACAGCCTCATCTTCTCAGTGTGGTGACAGTGGAGGAAGTGACCCATTCCCAGGAGTTAGGTGACAGGTTCGGAAGCTCACCATTTCTACCCAAAGTCATTTAGCCACGGGAGCTCATGTATTCACAAGTGAAACCCCCCTACCCTCAGACCCAGCAGGGTCTGAGCAGGGAACTCACAGACACAGCCCCTGAAATGCACAGTGCACTGAGAGTAACTGGAAAGAGCAAATTCCAGAAAGAGCAAGCGATACAGCTACTCCGAGAAGGGCGGGCCCTGTCTTGGGGGCTGGGGGCTGAGAGCCTAGGCTGGGTGGGGACCATTGGTCCCCAGAGCTTCCTGGACCCTGGCGGGGCTGACTCATCACAGTAGGCGCGGGGCACAGGTGAATTTAGCTGCGTCCATCAGCGGAGTCGGAGCCGTG